GTAGCGCATGCCTGTAATTCCAGCTACTTGGAAGGCTGAGGCTGAAGGATCGCCAGAGCCCAGCAGGTCGAGGCTGCAGTGGCCGGGAGCAGCCACTGCACTCCAGTCTGGGTGACAGAGTGAGACTCCAACTCAAAAAAAAAAAAAAAAAAAGATCTATGTATATTTTAAGACTTAGGGAATGAGAAGTGTTCTCGCTATGTGTACACTTAGCTTGACACTTCACTCACGGATGACAGTCATTTTAATGCAGAAACCACCTTCTAAAGCATGCCTGTCTTTCAGTGTATTCGATTATTTCACGTCCTAAAGGTTAGAAGTAATAAATTAATAATCAGTACTAGGTAAGTTGTTTGTAAAGCTATTTTGAATCCTGACATAGCACCCTCTTTTCAGAACAGTCCAGGCTTATTTGCTTTCTTGTCTCCATTACTCTTGCTCTAGATAGAAGTTATGTAAAATGTGTTCTCAAAATAAATTAACCCACTCATCCATTTTAAAAATGCTTAGTAAATGCCTACTGTGTCTCCAGCAAAGAACTGAGTGCCTGGTATATATAAATAAATAAAATAAAATATGTTTCTCTTACAACAATTACAGAACTAAATAAAGGTAAAAATACTGTAGAAAAAGAAAAGAGGATGCAAAAAATATAGGGTGAGGGCAGGCGAGTAGTAGAAGAAAAGTGAGTGAGAGGAAGTATACTAGCAGATGATGTGATGGAGACATTGAGGATTCTATTTTAAAAGAGTTTGTAGACCATTTCAACACTCTGGCTTTCACTCTGAATGAAATGGGGGTCTGAGAAATGGCATGACTTGAGTAACATTTTAATGGATCATTCTGACTCTTGTGCTAAGAATAGACTCTGGGAACAAGAAAGTGAGCAAAGATGCCCCTGGAAAGTACTGCAGAGTTTAGACCAAAGATGGTAATGATCTAAACCAGAGTGGTAGCTGTGGAAGAGGTAGGGAGGTATCGGAGTCTGGTTATATGTACTATAGAATAAAACAAATCAAGAATAACCTGCTAGTATGAAACCTAGGTTTTCTTCCCATGAAGGTTACGAGCCTTCCCAGGTATCACCCAACATTCATACACATATTAGTCACTCCTTCATGCTACTGCTATACTCTGACAATCAGCATGACTAGACTTTAGAAACTGTAGTGTTCTGGGCCATCGGCTTGCAAAGCTATGGTGTAGCATGTGCTCTTTGAGCTATGGCTGTCGCCATGTTTCTTAAGCTTTGGTCTCCTTCTTTGCCTTGGGGAGGTGAATCCCCTCTTTCTTTCTCTCTCTCTAATTTATTTTCTTTTCCTTTTTTTTTATTTTTTGAGTTAGAGTCTTACTCTGTTGCCCAGGCTGGAGTGCAGTGGCACACACAAGGCCACCATAGCCTCAACCTGCTGGGTTCAGGTGATCCTTTCACCTCAGCCTTCCAAGTAGCTGGAACTGTAGGTGCACGCCACCACGGCTGGCTAACTTTTTGATTTATTGTAGAGATGAGGTCTTGCCAAGTTGCCCGGGCTGGTCTCAAACCTGTGGGCTTAGGCAATCCTCTCACCTCAGCCTCCCAAAGTACTGGGTTTCTAGGCATAAGCCACCACACCAGTCATTCTAGTTTACTTACTTTTTTTTTTTTTTTTTGAGTTGGAGTCTCACTCTGTCGCCCAGACTGGAGTGCAGTGGCCGCTCCCGGCCATCGCAGCCTCGACCTGCTGGGCTCCGGCGATCCTTCCGCCTCAGCCTTCCAAGTAGCCGGAATTACAGGCATGCGCTACCACGCCTGGCTGATTTTTTTTTTTTTTTAATTGTAAAGATGAGGTCTCGCTGCCCAGGTGGGTCTCGAACCCGCGGGCTCAGGCAATCCACTCACCTCAGCCTCCCAAGGCGCGGGATTACAGGCTGAGCCACCGAGCCCGGCTTCGGTGTATTTTTCAGTCTTACTTACTCTATCTTAAATAACCTTGCATGTTGAACATCTCAATCTGAAATAGCTTGAATTTGTTTGAGTCTAGACTCATTCATGGGGGTCTCTTCCAGCTTCTGGGGAAAATGAGGACTAGATAGGTTTTCTGCAATTTTCAAAGTCTTGTTTTCTTTTTCTTTGAATAACTGTTTAATAAAGACATATATCCCTGTTGGAACAAGCAATAATATACAGGCATATCACAATTTAAATATATAAAGAGTAAATTATAAAGTCTACAGAAATGTATTTTTCTCTATGTTTATGTCTGGTTTATATTGCCAAAGAAAAATATTTAACTCATTAAGTTAAATCTTAATTCAAGTCACTACTTCAGAGTTTTCGCCAAATTGTAGGTTGTTATTGGCTTTATGCTTGTATAAATCAATATTATAGAAGGCTTACAGAACTAAAAAAAAACAAAAAAAACAGTCTCCACCAAAAATGAATTGAGAAAACAGAGAGAAAGAGTCTAGTGAAGCTTTGAAATTAACTGTAATTTTGGGTAATGTCTGATTTGAGAGGCAAACTCTCAGCTGAGAACAAGCGCTTCTGGATAATTTCTTAGGAGCGGGTATTTTACATACCCAGTCTTTCTAATATTTGAGATAGAGATCATTCTCTTCATTTTCAGGTAAAAAAATGAAAGATCAGAGACTATAAGTAATTATCTGGGTCAGAAAGGCATGTGATTCTCTGATAGCAGCCATAGAGCTAATAAATAGAAGAGATGAAATTTTTAAGTCTTTGTGATGCCAAACATCGTACTTTTTCTACCATACCAGATGATTTCTTCTAAGTAGGCAGTCAGAATTGAAGAAATTTAAATCGTACTTGGTGAGAGGCAAGTTAATGTAATGAACAGCATCATTTCAAAGGAAGTTGACTTGTTATCATCTTGAATATAACAATTTTTTATAAGGATAATGCAGGAAACATTATAATAAAACACAAAATTTGTCTTTCACTTGCCTAGATGAAAAAATCATTTAAATAGATGAATGCTTATGCTTTATACATTGTTTTTTAAAAAGTTTACTCATCTCTCTCATTCCTGCACAAACTACTTTCTACCAAATCTATAAGGGACATTTACTAAAAGAGCCTGGAAATATCAACATCATAAATGTTCTCTTTCCTTGGTCAGTGACAGATTCAAGTAGTTATTTGAATAAATCAATGGTCATTTTCAAAAATTATATGCATTCTTTCCCAAGCATAACTAATGTGTATCACCTTGCTCTAAAGCAAAAAGCCCGTAGACACTTGAGACACACTATGTCTTCTTCTGGCATTGTCAATTTTCATTTTAATGAAACTTTATCTTTAACTTGAAAAAAAAGTACTATCCAGGTAGGAAAATCCTTTGGAAATTGTACTTACATGAAAGCGTCTTTTGCTGTTTTTCCCATAATTAATTATAAAATATTAGTAAGTTACAAGGAAAAAGACAATACTTGATTTAAAAGTTTGGAAATTCAGCCTACGTTATCACCTGCTTGGATACGAGCAAGAACATGCATATTAAAGTCTCAGAAGTCCTCTAATGAGAAACCCATAATTACTTGATCATGGAATGCCCCATCTCACCTTTTTCTTTATAATATTCCTTGGAACAAACTTTAGCCAATGCTGGTCTGTGAAAGTGCCTGACCAGCGGAAAGGATGGTCACACTGTCCTCTGGGTTTGACTATTAGACTAATAACATGGTTCTATAACTACTGTTTAGAAATGTTGGTAATACAAATTTGAGATATTGTTCTGGCACATCCGTGAACTAACCTTGTTTAGAATGTTGGACAATATGAATATATGGATACACACATTTTGCAGTTCAATTTTAAAACATCTAATTTTAAATAAAACTAAATAATTTCTTCTCTAATTTTAAGATTCACATGTTTCTTGAGAAGTTACATCATCTAATGGAAATATAAAAGAACGATATTAACCAAATAGAGTTCAGATGTGTCATCCTGGTGGGTGTGTCTAAATGGAAGCAAAGAGCAGCTTTTTCATTACAGATTTAAGTTTAACTGTTATAATCACATGAAGGATATGATTCATGAAACTCAATACTAAAATGACCACAAACTTGTTTCCTGCTCTTTGGGCCTCAGACATTGATAGGAACTTCAGAAAATAACCGTGTCATCTTTTTTTTCTTAACATAGACTATGAACATGAGTGATGTGTAATTCCTAACTAGTCAGTTATTTAGTTACCTATTTTAGACTTCTGCATGAAAATTAAGAATCTTGGTGATTAAATCGGTCAGAAAGGTATATGATTCTCTGACTAGCAGTATGAATGAAATACTCAAATGATGGAATCCAATTCTGGGATTTCTAAGAATTAGACCAGAGTATCTTTTGTAATGAGCGTTTTATATAATTTCTATCTACACTTGACTCTACTTAAAAACTTCTTGTCTAGGTCAAAGATACTTCATTCTTATATGTTGATACAAGTAAAATGGAATGAAAAGTTTAGGGTAAGTGTGCAAATATGATAACTGTGAGAATATAGACTTTACTCCCTTTTTTTTCCTTCCAGGATTATCACAAAACCTAGCAAGTAGTTTGAGGACCAAGTAGTTACTAAATAAAATGTGGTAGAAGAATAAATAAAAAATTATATTCAATTAGTGACTGTTGGCAACTGACAGCATTTTCTACCCCTCTGAACAGGAAGAAGAGGGTCGTGATAAAAAAAAAAATCCATCAAGAATAACTTCAAATATTTAATTGGCTCATGATTGTTCTGATTGGGAAATTCTGGATTTTGATAATGACTAATGTAAAAAAAAATTCACAAAGGTGGTTATTTCTTGTATACAATGGCATTATAACATTTTTATCAAGGTTCTTCTTCATTAAAATTTTTTTATTCATAGAAGTCTTCGAGATCAGTGACAGTGATCATGCATCATCAAGGGGACAATGTCCTTACTCCCACATCAAATCATAGTATGATACCATCAGCTCTGATTCTAAATAATGGTGTCTGTCTTGCTATCCTTTACAGCCAGCTATTGCAAGTCCTGATATCATGTTTATTAAAATTCACATTCCGTGGGACACACTATGCAAGTATGCAGAACGGCTGAATATCAGGATGCCCTTCAGGTACTTCCAAATTTTATTTCATTCTATTTCAATGTGCATTAAAATGAGGCTGTCTTTTGCAATACCTGGGAGCAAGAAATGTAACCCATTCTATAGAAAAAAAAGGCTTTTTCTTCCAAAGTTAGTTATCCTGAGCAGGTTTTTTTTCCCCCCCCACTTCTAATTAGCTTTGTTTAGAATGTGTTTTGTTTTGTTTTGTTTTCCACTTCTAACTAGCCTTGTTTAGAATGTGGGACTATATGAATCTATGGTGTGAATATAGGGATATACACATTCTGCAGTTCAATTTTAAAGCATCTGAATTTAAATTAAATTGAATAATTTCTTCCCTAGTTTTGAGTTTTTAAGATTCACATGTTTCTTGAGAAGTTACATCATCTAACGGTAATTTGTTTGCCTAGTTTGCTTAACTTTCTGATTCCCTGGACACTATATAATTTCAAGGTCAACGTGCCTTGAGAGTGAGTAAAACAGTTACTTTCCATTTTAGGTTATAATAATTCCCAAGATTAATATCATGCCTTTTTCATTTGGGTGGATAGAAATCTTGTTATTTTTGTGGGAGGCAGACAGCATAAGTGTATAGCATCCTTATGTATATAAAAAGCCCGCTATATAGTGATAAGCACGAATCCCTTATCAGACCAATTCAACCAGGATGGCTTCTTAACTGTTCTCAATACCAAGGGATAAATGGTAAATGGGAGGACGGCTTCTTTCAAAGGCTATTCTGTCCTTCCATTAGGCAAACCAAGATAGAAAGGATATCAGTTTCACTCTATGGAGTATATTGCGTTATATGCAGAACGTATCACTTTCTTCCATCACTTCTCAAAGTAACATTAAACAACCCTACTATGCGCAAAGTTTTAATTTACAGTGAAGACATGACCATTTACGCTGATATGCAGCTCAATTTGCTTCATCAGTTGCTCAGAAGGTTTAAAACAGTTCAGAGTAAGCAGGATACCAAGTAAGAGAGCCTCTGGGTAACAAATATAAGGCAACAAACACCAAGGGTGCAATTCAAAAATAGGGAGAAATTTATCTCACTTGGTTGTGTAGCAGAATCTAACCCTGGCTGATATCCTCAAGTTTTATGACCAGCCTCTATGGTATTTAAAATAAAATATGAGATATTGATTCCCATCTTCTTAGTCATTTAAAACACCTTAGGCTTGAAAGATGCAACCACAGTCATTGCCTATAAATCAGAAATTGAATAAGAGTTGGAAACTACTGAGGAATCTTCTTGATGTCAGAATTAAATACATAAATTAGCTCACATTTGGGCTTGGCGAAGGTTTTAAAGTTATCTATAAAGATTATATTAGGAGCCGGGCTCGGTGGCTCAGCCTGTAATCCTGCGCCTTGGGAGGCTGAGGTGAGTGG